TACCCTGAGCATAAGGCACGACTGAAATGGTGGTTTATGTAGCATTTTATATGTATCTGCTAAATGTTAAGAGCAGGGCTTTGCAAGACGATTTGAGGAGCTTCAAGTGGACAATGCAGAAGGATAGTTTATGATTTGATTAACAATGTGTTTATCATAATCACCCTGGGGTCTTGGGATTCCCTGGTCTCCCAGCCAGTGATTTTGACCCAGGAGACCATTGACCTATCCTTCTAAGAAGCTCCAGGAGATCCCAATTCAGTTAAACAAATTCACAACCATAAGCTTTGTAAAACACTGCTCTCTGCTTTAATTTTGCTTTCCCAAAAGTATTTCATTGTCAATGTGTATGTCTCCAGGTTGCTACAGAAAAAATTTGTGAGAAAATTCTTGACCAGTAAAACCCAGGAATGCAAAACCCTGCCAGAGAGAGGGGGATTATGGATGAGGATAATAAATTGACCCAGCTCAATATTTTAGCAGAAACCAGTCATTATAGAAGCTCCATCTCAGAAGCAAGAGTTTAATAAATATCTCTAGAAATTAAATAGTGTGTCACATAGACTATCTCATCTCCTAATTGCAGGAAACTTGCCAGTGAATGTTATCAAAATTAGCTATAGGAATCTCCTGGACTGTGTTGATGTAGCGAAGAACAAGTCAAAGGATACATCTGTGATGGCCAGAAACCTCAAGTGGAAGTTCTTTCTACTAAATATTTTTGTTATAACTGGGGTGCCACTTGTAGGGCACAGAAATGGAACCTAGAATGATTCTGTCTTCTGTTAGCTGCCTAGATCAGAGTTTTTAACCTCAGCCCTATTGACATTTCAGACTAATGTATAACTTTTTTTTTCCTTTATGGCTAGTGTTTTTTGTGTTTTCTGTAATAAGTCTGTCTTACACCAAAATAATGAAGAGATTTTTCTCAATTCTCTTCTGAAAATTTTACGGTTATGCTCTTCATATGTAGGTTCTTAATCTAATTGGAAATAATTTTTCCAAATAGGGTAAGGTAGTTGATGATATGTGTATTCAAATGAGTATTCAAATATTCTAGTCACTTTTTTTAAGTCTTTCCATTTCTGCCTCTGTACACTGTTCTTCATAAATCAAAATGTATATATATATGTTTCTATTCCCAGACCTTATATTATGTTCATGGGTGAATTTATATATTTTTATTCCAATATTACACTATCTTGATTAACAATTTATACTTCATCTTTATGATACATTCATTAAGTCCTTCTGCGTTTTTTCTGTTTAAGAATGTTTGGCTATATTTAATTAGTTGTCGTATTTTATAAATTTTAAAATGAGCTTGCAAATTTCAATTTTTGAAAAGTTGTGATTTTGAGGGGATCAGAATCAATCTAAAATGAAGCGAATCAATAAGAAAACATCAAACGACCCCATTTAAAAAGTGGGCAAAATACATGAACAGAAGTTTTTCAAAAGAAGATAGACTAATGGCCGAGCAGCATAATGTTCAACATCTCTAATCATCAGGGAAACGCAAATCAAAGCAAAATGAGATAGCACCTGACTCCAGTGAGAATGGTTTTTACCAAAAAAAAAAAAAAAATGCCAGAACAGATGCTGGCATGCAGGAAGAGAGAAAGGAACATTTATACACTGTTGGTGGGACTGCAAACTACTACAACCTCTATGGAAAGTAGTATGGAGATACCTCAAAGAACTAAAAGTAGACCTATCATTTGATCCAGTAAATCCCACTACTAGGCATCTACCCAAAGGGAAAAAAGCCATTTTATAAAAAAGACACTTGCACTTGAATGTTTATAGCAACACAATCACAAAGATGTAGAATCATCCCAAGTGCCCATCAATACATAAGTGGTTCAATAAAATGTTGGATATGTATACCAAGGAGTATTACCCATAAAAGCAAATAGTGAACTGATACCTTTTGTAACAACCTGGATGGAACTGGAAACCATCCTTTTAAGTATCACAAGAATGGAAGAACAAAAACCATGTATACTCACTACTAAATTGAAACTTATAGATCAACACTCATATGCACATATGGTAGTAAAATTCAACAGAAATCAAGCAGGTGAGGGAGGAAGAAGGTGGGGATGGGTAAATTCACACCTAATGGGTACAATGCACACTACATGGATGATAGACACAACTATAACTTTGACTCAAACTATACAAAAGCCATTCATGTAACCAAAACAGTTGTATCCCCATAATATTCTGAAATTTAAAAAAAGCTCTGCAATAAACAATTTAAAATTTTAAAAAAATAAAGCTGCACAAAGAAAAAAATTAGGCCAGGCGCGGTGGCTCACACCTATAATCCTAGCACTCTGGGAGGCCGAGGTGGGCGGATTGCTCGAGGTCAGGAGTTCGAAAGAAAAAAATTAAAAAATAAAAAATCCATGAGTCTAACAACCATGAACATATTATCTCTTTATTTACTTAGATCTTTTTAATGCCTAAGATTAAAGTTTTATAATTTTCTATTTAGAGTTCTTGTACATATTTTTTTAGATTTGCTCCTAAATATGAGATATTCTTATCCCACTATAATTTTTTTCCATTTTCTTAATGTTGCTGGTACACTAAATTTTAGTTGTTTTGTAAGTTGTTTATCTTCAGATTCTTTTGTATTTTCTAAATACAAAATTATTCCTCTGTGAACAATGTTTTCTTACTATTTTATCTTTTATTTATTAATGTTGCCATATATTATAACTAAAACCAACATAACTGAATAAAAATGGCAATTGTGGGCACCCTTGTCTTATTTCTGATCTCAGAGAGAAAGTCATTAATTAGCATTTTACCATTAAAAAGTATGATGTTTAATGTAAGGTATTTCATCATTTAAGTATTTAATCATTTAAATAATTTAATGTAAGGTATTTCATCATTTAAAATGGTTAAATTTTACCAAATTAACTGACTGATGAGTTTTATTAAATATGTTTAGTGCATCTCCTGTGATGACTATATCATCCATTAATCTGATATTGTGGTGAAATACTCTGATAAAACTTTCTAAGATTTAGTCCAAATTTCATTTTTTGATACAAACCAAATTATCACGTATTATTTTTATTCATATATTTCTGGGTGGTTTTTCTATTTTGTTTACAACTTTTCCATCTATATTCATTGATAAAAATGGCCTGTCATTTCCTTCTGTTTTGTTATCAAGATTAACCGAGCTTCATCAATTAAGTTGGTAATTATTTTCTCTTTTTCTCTTCTCATGAAGAGTTTGTTTAGATTGAAATTATTTTCTTATTAAATGCTTGGTAGAAATATAAAATGAAGCAAACAGGGCCTTAAATTTGATTTACAGGTTTTTGATAATTTCTTTAATGACTATAGGACTATTGGGTTTTTTTTATAACTTATATAATTTGTTTAGTGATTCACATTTGAAACACAATTCAGTAATTTTTATTTCAGCATATTATGGGGGTACAAATGTTTAGGTTATGTATGTTGCCCTTGCCCCCCCACCTTGAGTCAGAGCTTCAAGCTATAAGAAACAATGGTGATACAGCACCTTTTGTATTTTCCTGGATAGAGCTGGGACCCATTCTACTAAGTGAAGTTTCCCAAGAGTGGAAAAATAAGCACCACATGTACTCACCAGAAAATTGGTTTCACTGATCAACACCTCAGTGACATATAGGAATAACATTTATCTGGCGTCGGGCAGATGGAAGGGGGGAAGAGGGGATGGGTATATACATACATAATGAGTGTGATGTGCACCATCTGGGGGATGGGCATGCTTGAAGGACTATTGCTTTTTAAACAAAATGATTCCAGGATTAGTTTTGTTGAGTAATATTTTTCTAAGCATTTGTCAAAATCATCTAACATTTCAGATATATTGGCATAAAATTCTTTATGTCCTTATTTTATTTGCTCTTTATGTCCTTAAAAATAAATGTTTGATGTGTTGTTCATTTTTCATTTCTAATATTCAAAGAATCATGGTCAGCTCTGTTAAGCTTTGGGATTCATTTTGAGCATTATAATCTATGCTCTTATTATTTGTTATATTTTTTGGATCTTTGTTGCTCTACAAACTTCTTGAAATGGTTGTGTAGTGTATACTTTTAACCTATCTTTTTCATTTCTTTTTCAAATGCTGCCAGAAACCACTGCTTTTAAAGTGAAGGTATTTGGATAAGGATGATTCACTTTTGGTTTGAAGAAATCAAATTATGTAGAAACCCCACCGGAATTTTATTTCCTCTATAAATTCTAGCCTTTTTATATGAATAAGATGGATAAACCTAAATCCTCAAACTGACTTGAAATTACTACTATACAGAAAAGGAATGTGATACAAAAGGAAAAAAAATACAGAAAGTAGAGAACAGAAATTTCTGAACCAGTTAGAAAGAAATTTTTTATTTCATTGCTTTGCACATACCATTATAAGGAAGTGAAATGGGGATAAATTTGAAAATTGATTACAATACAGTAGTCCCCCTTCATCTATAGGGCATATGTTCCAAGACCCCCAGTGGAATCCTATAACCATAGTTGGTACCAAACCCTGTATATACTCTGTATACTAGTATACATGTATATACTAGATATACATATCTATAATAAAGTTTAATTTATAAATTAGGTACAGTAAGAAATTAACATTAATACAATAGATCATAATAATATACTATAATAAAACTTATACAAATATGGTATCTCTCTCTCAAAAGTATTTTAATATATTTGGACCATCGTTAACTGCAGGTAACAAACTATGGAAAGTGAATCCTGAATAATGTGGGATTACTATATACTAACTACTCAATTACCACCCAGAACAGATTATGATAGGTAAGCCTATTTACAAAATGCAATCGTCTCATTTTTATAATGCTCTGTGGATCTGGACTTAAATTTTCTTAAAAAAATAGAACTATTAAGAATTACAAAATGTTATGTTTTAAAAGCATCTTTATTTCAAATTTAAAATCTACAAAGGCCTTTCCCTACCCAAAATGCGTATAAATATGCACGGCAGAGCAATTTTTCATTTAAAAAGATATTTGAAACAGTAAAAGATGATATCCATAGATTAGTCCAACTTCTAAGAGGCAGTGAAATTCTCAAGCAGCCAGAGTAGCAGGATAAGTAAGGTTGCTCCATCACCCAGAATTGATAGCTGAATTCCTCCATTTAGTAAGAAGGTATAAAATTTTGTGGCCCAGCAAAAGAAAATTGTTCCTGTAAGGAAGAAAAAGAAGCAGTCATGTTGTAGTGCTGACAGGAAACTAAAGAACCTTTCAGACTCAACGGGGTGGAAACGTAGGAAGAGAAGGCATCAATTTTAAACTCCAGAAGCCATTATAATATTTTAATTGTTCAATTATAACAGATACTATATATACTATATGTATATAGCTATTAATAAATGTTTAGTTAATAAATGTTTATAAATTTTACATAAGCATAATATCTCAAATTTTGAATTATGAGGATCAATTGATATGTGGAAAAATAAAGGTCTGTCCCTCTGGCACACTAAAGTCCAAAGGATATAGTCTATTCGAATAAATTTTATGGGTCATTTAAAAAGAGTTTTCTCCTGCAGGTATTTAGTTCTTTCAGAACAAAAAGCTGATATTAAAGTCAGCATGTATATCAATTACCATATTCATGAAAATTCGCAACCTCACTAGATATTTATGTTATAGACTCCAGAGATATTTTTTGTCTGGCTGGAGAGAATTGATAATACAAAATAGCTATTGAGATTACAAGTGCAAATCTGTTTTACATGAGAGAATAAGAAATGCTAAGATTAAATATATCCCTAATAACCACAAAAATGCAAAATTCTCAATGATCTGGAACTAAAACCATATGAGCACACAGTACACAAAGTGTGATATATGTCATACTTTACTGAAACCTGGCCTTTTTGTATAAATATACTATAAACATTTATGGTACCAATTCAAAATATTCTTACGTATATAATACCCTTGGACAGATTCCCAAGTCTTCAACTTGATGTGATAAAGACCACGTCTGTCCCACTGGCCTTGTGTGTTCATGATGAGTGTGTTCATGATGAGTATTATCTCTACTTTTCAGCACCAATATCATTGGAAAATGTCTGAACAGGAGAAAAAACAGATTTAAGCCTCGTGTATATGAAACATTCGGGGGTGGGGAAGGAGTTGAAGTTTGGGGAAAGAAACTCAATTAGATCTTTGGGTTGTAAGTGATAGAATGCTAAATCAACTAGCTTAGGCAAAGATGGAAAGAAAAAATGTAACAGAATGCTGAGTACAACTTAACGTTACCCAGAATTTACTTTGGGGACCTGAAGCTGATTTCACAGAAGTGTCAAGTACCATAAGCTCTGAAAAAGTGGCTGAAGCAGCTCTGCTATTTCCAATCATCTAACCACACATCTACAGAGAATGATTAGAGACACGCAGTTCTGAGTTTCTGGCCTGTGATAAATGGGGGAGTGGGCTCATTAAAATTCTTGTTCCCTTAATGAAGCCAAATAAGGATGTGTTTTAAGTCAAGTTTTCCAGCCTCGCAGGTGCCTTCAGCAGGAGATAGACATCTTCTTCCCGAGTGACTTTCTGCTTTTGCAATAGACTGCCATGTGAGACACCAAGGAGGAGAAAAACCAGAAGAGTGGAAGAACATATTCTCCCACCATGCATTGTATTATGAATACTAATTTTCCCATAGGTACCAGAGTTTTAGCTATTTTTCTAGGATATCACCCAAGAATACCTATCAACTGTGAGGGCATCCCCAAAACCAAGATGTTAGAATGTAAAAACACCACCAAGACAGAACAGGGAGGTTAGGTGGAGGTCTATGGTGGCAGTTGTATGGAAGAAGTGAGTCCCATCTAGATCATCCCATCAGGAAATATGCAGTTGTGATGACTGCCCTCTACTATGGCCTCTAACACACTCATCCACCCATGATTTGAGAAACACTTCCAGGTGAAGGCATGATTACCTCGCCAGTATGACTAAAAATGGACCACACTTGTCCCAGGTAACCATGAGATACTTGTGATTCTCTACCTCTTTATCCTCGGTCATAGCCCAACAAGGCACAATGGTAAAAACAGCAGAGGAAAAAAAAAAAACAAAAAAAAAACAGCAGAGGAAAATGTACTCAAGATTATGGTAAACCACCTTCTCCAAATCCTTTGTGTGCAGAGTTAGGAGTCTTAAAGGAAACCTAATTTTAATATGACATTGGAAGATATGGACCTGACTTGACTATTTTCACTTCAGAGCAGGACCAAAGATACTGTTAAAGAATAAGAAAAGAAAATTTCACATAGCACAGTTAACATTAATAATTGTTAGATAAATATAGCCATTTAGCTCTGTGTCTCCAAAGAGGCCAGAGGGTTCAGAAAATGGACTGGAATGAAAACTCCATGGACACACATGAAACTGGGCCTCGTGAGCATTCACCCAGGGCTTTGACCACAAGTGGAATTGTCCCAGCCTGCATCAGTAGGCTCTTTGGCTTCATTATCTTATTGCAGAAGAGTTTCTCAAATAAGGAAAAAGAATGGGGGTCATTAGCAAGTCTTGATTTTTATATCCCATAGTAAATCACCAGAGATTAGCTCAGTACTAGTTTTTAAAATTTTGAAAAAATACTGATTTTTAATCTCTTGACTCTTCCCCATATCTACACAAAGGTGGTATGATTTGTACAAAAATTCAACAGCTCTTCTAATAACCATGGGTGATGCAGTATGAGACTGTAGGTACCAACAAAAATCAACTCAGAAGGAAAGTTTATCCACAAAAACCTTCTGTTATGATCTCTTTGTTGACAGTAGACTTCAATTCTCATATACTGAGTCTCATCTACTCATTCAGAAAATAACCTTGAGAGAACAACTGAACTTTTCTTAGATTTATTTACAGAACTAAAAATAACACTATAGCTCAAATCTGGCCCAATGCTCAGCCCAGCATATTCTCCAACAGAAAGTTTGGAGAACTCCATCAGAAGTTTTCTCCTGATCAGAACACTTGGCAGGCAAAGGCAATGTTAAATAACCTTAATCTCAGTAGTCCACTACACTTACCTTTGAAAATAGCATGCTACTGGGATGTGGATAATAAAGTCTAAATCCGTTGGTTCAAATGTGACTGAACTTTCAATAAAAATACTTGATGGGTTTTCCTAAAGGTATAAAGGGTATAAAATCAGTTATCTTAATTATATCTCTTTCAAATGGTTTCAAACTCAATTTTTAAAATGCAGAATGTGAAAACAAGGTAATCATTTTTACTTTAGATGAGATCGGCGCGTTCAGGGTGGTATGGCCGTAGATCATTTTTACTTTAGGATATAAAGTAAATAGAAGAACAGAGGAACTAAGTGATAAAACAGTTTTTAGCTGACTAATAGCTCCTGACATAGTATCAGGGGCATTGTAATTTTTTTTTTTTTTTGGCAGTTGAATCTGCATAGACAACTTTTGATTACCACATTTGTTTAAGAGTCAGAGTCTAATTTAGGAAGACCTAAGTTACTCTGAGTGTGAATTTTGGCTAAATATATAACAACTTCAGAGAAGCTTACATCTTTCCTATTTGTAAAACAGAGATAATATTATATAAATCAAGAGTTGGCAAAGTTTTCTAAAATAAGGCAGAAAGTAAATATCTTAGTCTTTGCATACCATGCTATCTTTGTCACAAATACCCATATTGCCTTAATATAATAGTATAAAATTAGTATAAGAGTATAAACAACTAGATGACTTAGCTTTGTTTCAATAAAACTTAATTTACAAATATAGGAAGCTGGCTGGATTTGACCCTTGGCTATAGCTGTCAACCATAGACATAAGCCATTATTTGTAACAGAGGGTATAGTACACTCAACAAAAATAACAATCTACACAGAAATATTTCTAAAGAGAAACAACTGAAAGAACTTTGCCCCTTCATTTACTCTCAGAGTAGTGGATTCCATGGAGAGTGCAGAGATGAGCATGCACCTAATTATATGCCACAATTTAGAATACTTACATTCTAGAATTGAAAACATAAGGCACCACCAAAAATGACAACACTAAACTCTCCCACGCATTCAGGTATAGTTGATATTTGCACATGATTCGCTTTAAGTGTACCATTTACCATCTAGGAAGTTCGTCATTCAAGAGTGTTTGCCAGTACCTCAGATTGTCCAAGAGCAAATAAGATGGCCATGTTAAGAATTTTTAGGGTTGAACATTATACAGGGCAATATTTATTATACAATAACGAAGTTTATTTCAATCTGGGTTTCTCACAAACAGGAATATATATTGGCTCATGTACCTGGGAGTCTCGGGGCAATTTGACAGTAGGAATAGGTGGATAATTGAATATAAATCACCTTACCAAAACCCTGTTTCACTCCCTCCTCTAACAACTTTATATCATTTCCTTTCTCTGAGTTGTCCTCTTTTTCAGGCAGTTTCTCCCTTCCAGGGTGGCAATTGGAAACCTCAGTGTTTATCTGCTCAAAGATTACCTGTTTATAGCCCCAATGATCTACAGAATCAATGCAATCCCCATCAAAATACCACAGCATTCTTTACAGATCTAGAAAAATAATTCTTCACTTTGTATGGAACCAGAGAAAACCAAGTATAGCCAAAGCAATCTTAAGTAAAAAGAACAAACTGGGAGGCATCAGTCTTCTTGACTTCAAGCTGTACTATAAAGCAATAATAGTTAAATCTGCCTGGTATTTGCACAAGAACAGAAGCATTGATATCTGGAATAGATCTGAGATACCAGAGATGAAAATATCAGCATATGGTAACCTAATCTTTGATAAAGCAGACAAAAATATACTATGGAGAAGATTCTCTCTTCAATAAACGGTGCTGAGAAAACTGGTTAGCAACATGCAGAAGAGTGAATCAGGATCCCTACCTCTCACCTCTCACAAAAATTCATTCAAGATGGATAACAGACTTAAACCTAAGACATGAAACCTTAAGAATCCTAGAAGAAGATATTGGGAAAACCCTATCAGATATTGGTCTAGGCAAAGAATTTTTGAGGAAGACCCCCAAGGCAATCACTGCCACATCAAAAATAAACAAATGGGATTTGATCAAATTAAAAAGTTTCTGCACAGCCAAGAAAACTATCAGTAGAGCAAATAGACAACCAACCCACAGAGTGGTAGAAAATATTCACTCTCTATACTTCTGATGAAGGTCTAATAACAAGAATCTACCTAGAACTTAAAAGAATAAACAAGAAAAAAAATCAAACAACCCCATCAAGAAATGGGCAATGGAAATGAACAGAAACTTCTCCAAAGAAGACAGAATAATGGCCTGCAAACATAAAAAAATGCTCAACATCTCTAATCATCAGAGAAATGCAAATCAAAACCACAATGAGATATCACCTCACCCCAGTAAGAATGGCCTGTATCAAGAAATCCCAAAACAACAAATGCTGGCGAGGATGTGGAGAGACAGGAACACTCTTACACTGCTAGTGGGACTGCAAATTAGTGCAACCTTTGTGAAAAAGAATTTGGAGATACCTCACACAGCTAGAAATGGAAATACCATTCGACCCAGCAATAGCATTGTTGGGCATCTACCCAAAAGAACATAAGTCTCTCTATTATAAAGACATCTGCACCCGAATGTTTATGGCAGCACAATTCACTATTGCACAGGCATGGAAACAACCCAAGTGTCCGTCAATTCATGAGTGGATAACTAAAATTTGGTATATGCTTACAATGGAATATTACTCAATTCTAAGAAACGACAATGAGCTAGCACCATTCATGCTATCCTGGATTAAGTTTAAGCCTGCTATATAAAGCGAGGTGACACAAGACCTGGAAAATGGGCTACACATCTACTCGCCGTCAAATTGGTACTGACTGATTAAAACTACGGTGCTCAAATAATGGTAGTGTTCACCAGGGATTTGGGGGGGGAGCCCCACATCTTAGGGATGTGGTGAGCATTGTGGGGGGAAAGGGCTTACCTCTAACACTTTTTAGGGAGAGGCCAAGATATACAATGTAACCAAAATGTCTAAAAAAAAAAACACCTGTTATCAGAAGGTGGGTAGGGGGGAGGGGGGAGGAGGAAAAGGGAGTATACTTACATAACGGCTGCGGTGTGCACCACCTGGGGGTTGGACACGCTTGCAGCTCTGGCATGGCGGGGTGGGGGAGGGGTGGCAGGGGCAATATATGTAACCCTAACAATATTTGTACCTCCATAATATGAGGAAATAAAAGGAAAAATTATTTTTAAAAAAGAAAGAAAAAGATTGAGGCTCTTCTCTAGAAATCCTAGCAATAGCCCTATAAAGTTTCTATTTAACCCAGGATGATTTTTCTGAAGTGAAAAACTGGCAGAGCCTTTTCATTTATTTCCCAAATATTTGAGCTCCTACATTGTATTAATCAACATTTGTATGTGGCAGTGGAGTTGGCCATATGCTAAGTTGAGAACTTGGTCTTTTTTATTATTATTATTATTCCATGCTAGAGAAAGAGCAGCAAACAAACGCTGGCGTCCTGCACCTGGAGCCAGGATTAGACTCAGTTCACTTAAATCATTTGTACCAAAAGTGAGGCTGTGGTTCCAAAAAGGAAAAAAACCAAGCTGTCATTACCAAACACAGCAACAAGTTAACATAAAGCAGAAAGAACAACAACAAAAAAAAATTCTGGTTTCAGAAAAGACTGATTCCTTTCTTCTGTGATATAACCGAATATACTCTATTTCGGTCAAAATTTTAGGCCAACCACAACAAAAGAGTGGGACATACACAGAACTATTTCAAAGTAAAATGTTTCTCTAGATTTCACCACAGAATATAAAAATCACTCTGTCAGAGGCAAAAGAGATGCGTTGGCAGAAGGCAGGTAAAGGAATGCATAGTTTTTAAAGTCCCACGTTCTATGTCTCTTCTACTGTGGAGATAGTCTGACAGCTTAAGAGAGAGTAGTCAGTATTACATGAGCCATAAAGCCAACTGACAATAAAATTTCAACAATGCAGGTTTACTCATTAGTTTGCGGAACTAAAACAGTCTAAGAATGTATTATTTGTTGAAGTAATAACCATTCTTACATAAGTCCTGATGTCACAAGAAGTGAGAAAGTAAAGGAACCCAAAGGTGTCTTCCTCAGGTGTGTTTACAGGGCAGCCACTTCCTAGATGGAGTTCATGTTGCTGAGGTTGCAGCCAATGCATTTGAGTCGTTCGTCTAACTTTGACATGGAGCCAGGTGTCACTACAGGCTACAAGCATTGCTGGAAAAGAATAAGAAAAGGAAAATATCAGATAGCATATCTGTCCCCGAACAATAGCTCAGGAAACTTTTGACCTATTAATTGTGCTGAGATCCCAACTATACGGTGAAAATATTTTGTTTCTATTGTATATTTCCCCCCTGTGAGATCTTGGGTCAATTACTCAATCTCTATGTCAATCACTTTCTTCATCAAATGTGGCAAAATAGGAGCTACTTTCTAAGCCAAATAAGCCAAATAGCCACGTGGGTTTTTTAGATATTACTCGAATTTTACCAAGATGACTCATGAATACAGTTTTGAAATATTTCCAAGTATAACTGATATAAAGCTGAAGTAAAGAGGTAGGTAAGAAAAGCTTTGATATTTGGTAGCACATGATGGAAAAGTGTATAATGTGCTTCCATTTAAAATTTCATGTTGTACCAAAATATTTGAGCTAATTTATATTATATGTAATGTGAAACTAAATAATTCTGAAATAAAATATTCCAGTTACTTCAAGGATAATACTTTATAATTGCCAACTATGTCAAGTTTGGGTTTTTTGGTCTTCTTTAGTTTTCAGTACATCTCTATGAAGTCAGGTTTTTTTGTTATTGTCGTTGTTTGAGTCAGAGTCTCACTCTGTTGCCCAGGCTAGAGTGCCGTGGTGTCAGCCTAGCTCACAGCAACCTCAAACTCCTGGGCTCAAGTGATCCTCCTGCCTCAGCCTCCTGAGTAGCTGGGACTACAGGCATGTGCCACCATGCCCGGCTAATCTTTTATATATATACTTTTAGTTGGCCAATTAATTTCTTTCTATTTTTAGTAGAGACGGTGGTGTCACTCTTGCTCAGGCTGGTTTCAAACTCCTGACCTTGAGCAATCCTCCTGCCTCGGCCTCCCAGAGTGCTAGGATTACAGGCGTGAGCCACCAAGCCCAGTCTTATGAAGTCAGTTTCATTATTCTCTCATACTTTGAGATGGATGAACTTAAGGTCACATAGCTGCTAAGTGGCACAGCAGGATTGAAACCTACACAAAATCTATTCAGAGACTCGGCTCTGAAATAGATAATTTATAAATGAATACAGCTGACTACTCTGTCCAAACTTCATGCCCCGTGGTCAGAACAGGGGACCTAAGCAACCTTCTCTCCTAGGCACCAGGCTGTCTCTCCTGATTTTGCCATCCACTGCAAGTATTCCACATTCAACGAAGTGACAAGCGAGTTTCCAGACAAAAGAAAATAAGAACCTGAAAATATTTTGCATGTAAGGGGAAAAAATAGCAGCATCTTGAGATCAGCTTATGGAATAGATTCAAGAGGAAGTACAGTGGTGAAGATGGAGAAATAAAACCATGTCTGACTGCAACTTCATAATCAGTCATTAGTTATTAGCAGTTGATCACCAGGTTATCAAAAAAAAAAAACCAAAGTCAACAGCATGTTTAAAAAAAAAAAAAAGCAGCCCCATGCTTAAAATTGCCACCTCCAGAATTCCCTCTTTTTCTTACAAGCATTAAGACCACGAATCAACACACAAAGCACGAGGAGCCCGCCTAACACGCAGAAAACCTTCATTGCTTCGTATCTCAGTCTGAGGTATTACAGCAAACAAGAAATCGAGGCACATGGGCCTCCACAGGTATTTATAAACCACTTGCCTCCTCAGCTGTGGGTGGTGGTTTATTTCTCTGGAAAGCACTGAGAACCCCTCAGCTGGCTTTTCCTTCGCCCAGCTGAACTTACAATCCTAAATCAAAAAATCAGGAAAGACAATGTGGAAAGTGGTTCTAGACTGTACCTCCTACCATTGCATCTTCTTCCCCAAGCATATGGTGTGTCTGAAACTGTGTCTTACATAATATTTGATATGTCTATTGGACTGTTAAGAAAAGGAGTCTTTCTAAGATGATTTGAGGGATCCAAGTGAGTGAAACAAAGGACTCATTTACAAATCGGTTGAAGATGTGGCTTATCATATTCACTCTTGGTTCTTGTGAAGAAATGCCAATGCCCTACGACCCAACCAATGATTCAGATCCAATAGGCCTGGGACAAGATGTGCTAATTGGTGCTCGTAACCAGCACCAGGAGGTTTTAATTCATGTAAACAAATCCATACACACCTGTGGGCCAAGCTTTGGAAAAACACTGCTTTCTGGTTTAATTTTGCTTTCCCAAAAGGCATTCTATTATGAATGTGTACAAATCCAAGGTGCTGAAGAAATATTTGCTAAGGGCATTTTTGGACTATAAACCTAGTAATGAAAAATCATAAGAAAAAGGGATAATGGACAAGGATAACAACATCATCTAGCTCCATATTTTGGCAGAAACCAATCTCCAAAAAGCGTCATCTCAAAAATAAAAGCCTAATAAGTTACCCTTAAAAATTACATAGCATGTCAGGTAGATTGTCTCAGCTTCTGAGTGCAAAATAATTGTTGATGTATATTGTCAAATTTAGCTATATGGATCTCCAGGATTATGAACTGATGTAACACAGAACGAGCAAACCTATGAACATCAGAAACCTCCAGGTAAAGTTCTTTCTACTAAATATTTTTCTTACATTACATGTTCTTTAAAATTAATTGGATTTTATTTTAGATTGTCTATTGCTTAGATATTTGGGAATGAGGGCCTTCCAGTAGATTGAATTTACAAAGACCATATCACTGGATTTTACTTGACAATACTTACCTGTTTTATTAATTATATGCCTACTAAACAGCAAGGGCTGGAAGACACTAACCTTCTTTCCATTTACACACCTGGCACAGATCAGGGGTTTTGCCTACAAAGACTTCAAAAACAACGACCGTCAATGTGAGGTCTCAAGTTCAGCATTTTCCCTTAAGGTGGTCCTGCCACTTTGCCTTTATATCCCATAATATGGATATCAGTTTTTTTAAATAAAAATTGTTATTGAACCACGAAATGATCCCAGACAGAAGACTTGGGTTCACTTCCATGGGCATTGGATCAAGGGCACTGTCCTTGCCCGTAATACAGGACAGACTTGTCTATGTCTCAGTCCACAGGGAGGAATTCTCCTGACTGATAGGACATGATCAGTGTTGGCCCTGAGAACATGAATATGGGGGAGAAAGGAGGAAGGGATCTAACCTCTCCTCTCTTTCTCCCACTGGGTAATCTGTGTAACTCTTGCCTCACTGAATTCATTGGAGACACTTTTCTCCATTTTGTCAAAGTGCCTTTCCTCTCCTAGCCCTTTCCCCTCTATGGAGCCAGCACCACATTTTGCATCTTAAATAAAGACTTCATTTCAATTTATCCTGTCTTTCTAATTGACCATCTTGACATCTAATTACTCAACAGGTTGTTGTACAGATTAAAGGGTTAATTCATGTAAATTATTCAAAAAAATATCTAACAACGACAAATTCTTTCTTGTTTAGTGTCTGTGTAATGAAATGCTTTAATAGAATGCTTAGCATTGTTTGAATTCTTGCCTAGATGTATTTCTTAATGTGCTGGGTTTAGTGTTCTAATACTAATACTTTATAGATGTGTTTTCATAAATGATACATCTCATAATGTATATTTATAATGGAAATTTGGGCATCTGCATCTCTACTTAACAAGAATTGGAAAGATTCCTGTTTGTCAAGATTGTGAGCTTGCTTATGAAAGAGGAATTTTTATTTTTTGACAATGTGCAAAACTTCTCTCTACATATACTACTCTTCTTTGTAAATACGTGATAATTTATAAACTGGTCTCTGATTAGCACTAGAATTGGTGGTCTCTTCAGTTTTCAATTGATTTTATATACTGCAATTAGAGCATCATCCTTTGTTCTATAAATATTCTGTGCTGACAAGGAGAGATTAACAAGTAGGTACTGCATCAAGGACTGTCCCCTAAAACACCTCTTTGTGAAACTCCTGTTTTTTCTTGTGTTATTTTTAAAGTTATTTTGTAGAAATTCTTTGTTCGTGGTTTGCCGTGGCCCAATTGCAGGACGGGGAATGAACACATAGGACATAGACATAAGACACAGACAGAGTTGGCTGCAGTCCCAGAAAATAAAGTACACAGACACAAGACACGGTTGAAGACTGCAGCACTGTAAAGCACCAGTCGTTTTATTTATATACAGTTTATTTGGGCGAGCATCCCACAGCTATTTTCTCATGCCAGCTATTTTCCCAGCTCCTTTTTGGTACATGACTTCCCACGGCCAACAACACCTGCTTCTCCAGTCAAAAAGCATCAAAGATGGCCTTCCACAAGACATGGCCCCTTTGATGTCTGATACTGCTTGCAGATAACAAACAATCTCGGCTCGAGTGCAAGACCACAAGTCCTTTGCCATCTTGCAGCGCCTGGCACCACGTGCAAGATGCCAGACAACCTTGGCTCGCATGTGAGACCACAGGTCCTTGGCCACTTGCCCAGAGAAACAGTTCTTTCAGCTGATCAACAAGCCACGTCCTGCTAATTGTGGGAACAAGCAATGGGATCCCATTCTGCTGACTTTTGGTCTCGGCCAATCTGACCCAGGGACGGCTCGCCTCAGCTCCCTTCATTGGTTTTCTCAAATTTCATCAGTGTAAGTCTAATAAAAACACTTAGTTTAAAAGAACTGAGGTATGGAGGATACATACTTTACATGTGTGGGACAGTTATTGATAGAAGGAATTATAGCAACTTGGATAAAACAAAATTCTTTTCAAATTCCATAGAAATCAGTCACACTTTCATTTCTCCCCAGAGAAATAGAATGAAAAGCATTTTCTTATGAGTTGAAATAAAAATCATTCTTACATTCAGAAATAAGTATATTCCATATTATATCAGTGAAGTCTCTGTAGTTTATGAGAAAGACAAACAGGGTAGAGTGGAAAATAGGATTGAGAATATATGTGCTTCCTCCATTACCCAAGAAAGAACAGCATTTAAGACATTTATGGACTTTCTCTTCAACTCTATGAGGCAGGGACCCCTCACCCTCTGATTGGTAGTTTAAGTCAAAAAAAAAAAAAAAAGGCAGAGATTCAAAGGAAGCCTCATTTATCCAGGGGATTGTTTTTGACAGCATACCAGGAATAAGGTATTGTTATTATGACCCTCTTGTAACTTTTGTCAAAGTTCATAATTCAGATATGAAGAGTAAATAGTTAAGAGATCTAATCTAAAAGCATATAATTTTTCAAGATTTTAGTTA